AATCTGACCAGGTCACAAGTTTTCATTTTTCACTTCATGATCAGAGCGGTATTTCATTATTTCCTGATTTCATTTTTGCAAGGTCTTGAGGGATTACCTTTGTGAAGATTAGGCTGGTCCTAAGTTTCATTAAGTAATTCGCTACAGACCCAATGTTTTTATCCATATATAATTGATATTTAGTCAAATTTAGCAAAAATAAAAAAAAAACGTTCTTAGCTGTCAGTTTTAAACTTAGAGGATGGAAATCCTCTAAAGACCCAAAATTTGGAGTTTTAGGACCCACAGTGGGTTCTCAACCCCAGCTTGCTGTAGATCAAACCTTAAAGTGCCCGTGATATCAAATTTTTGTAAAAATTAAGTAAGTATTTTTGGGAAGACAACATTATTAACATATTAGAAAACAAATGACAATGCTCAGATGGACGGTTGTTGACATATTTGCATGTGAAGTAACAGGAAGTGATGTCTAAAGGGAACATCTGAATGGGAATATTTTAAAAATAAATGTTACCAACTATTTTAATATTTGATACTAATTACAGTCATCCTATTTACAATGTGTTAACATTTAAGACTTCTGAAAGATTAAGACATTTTAAGGCTAATTACGGCCTTATTTTTGGACTGATGAATTCAGGACCTTTTAAGGATCTGCAGGAACCCTGCAAGATGGCTGCCGGGCCACAGGTTTACAGGTGCTGCGTTCTCAGGTGTGGAGGTAGCTGACAGTCAAACCAACACAGACGTTGAGAGCCAACAGATGGCGTGAGAACATGGGTGACATGCTTTCCTTCAAAACATACTGCTTCTGATTAGGGGTGTAAGAAAATATCGATACACTGAAATATTGGGATATTTCATTTCCCGATACTGTATCGATATTCTGAAGCCCTGTATCGATTTTTAATTAAGTTTTAAAATGTCAACCTTCTTGCCAACCGTTCATTTTTATGTTGTAGTTCAGCCTCTGACCACTAGTTGGCAGCAGTGAGCCAGCCATTTGGCTACTCTACCTCTTTAGCGCCAGAGAGTAAGGGTATATTAGCATTGTAGGAGACAATGGCTGTGTCCAAAACGGCAGGACGGGGAGGTACACTTCGCTGCAGCATGCAGAACGGGGCGGGGACGGACCTTTCCGTCAGTCCCATACCTTATATGGAAATGGGACTATTGCATTCYGGAAATGAAGGTTGCTCCTTAAAGACGCGGGATTAAGAGAGCAAAGGAAGAAGAAAGGAAGAAGTTAGAGAGTTTCTTCTACG